TGAAGCAGCGCAGCCCTTCACCAGACTGGTGCAGGATTCTAGCTGGAAATCACCCCAAACTGCGACTGAAATCTCCAGAAGACATTGGTGAAGCAGCGCAGCCCTTCACCAGACTGGTGCAGGATTCTAGCTGGAAATCACCCCAAACTGCGACTGAAATCTCCAGAAGACATTGGTGAAGCAGCGCAGCCCTTCACCAGACTGGTGCAGGATTCTAGCTGGAAATCACCCCAAACTGCGACTGAAATCTCCAGAAGACATTGGTGAAGCAGCGCAGCCCTTCACCAGACTGGTGCAGGATTCTAGCTGGAAATCACCCCAAACTGCGACTGAAATCTCCAGAAGACATTGGTGAAGCAGCGCAGCCCTTCACCAGACTGGTGCAGGATTCTAGCTGGAAATCACCCCAAACTGCGACTGAAATCTCCAGAAGACATTGGTGAAGCAGCGCAGCCCTTCACCAGACTGGTGCAGGATTCTAGCTGGAAATCACCCCAAACTGCGACTGAAATCTCCAGAAGACATTGGTGAAGCAGCGCAGCCCTTCACCAGACTGGTGCAGGATTCTAGCTGGAAATCACCCCAAACTGCGACTGAAATCTCCAGAAGACATTGGTGAAGCAGCGCAGCCCTTCACCAGACTGGTGCAGGATTCTAGCTGGAAATCACCCCAAACTGCGACTGAAATCTCCAGAAGACATTGGTGAAGCAGCGCAGCCCTTCACCAGACTGGTGCAGGATTCTAGCTGGAAATCACCCCAAACTGCGACTGAAATCTCCAGAAGACATTGGTGAAGCAGCGCAGCCCTTCACCAGACTGGTGCAGGATTCTAGCTGGAAATCACCCCAAACTGCGACTGAAATCTCCAGAAGACATTGGTGAAGCAGCGCAGCCCTTCACCAGACTGGTGCAGGATTCTAGCTGGAAATCACCCCAAACTGCGACTGAAATCTCCAGAAGACATTGGTGAAGCAGCGCAGCCCTTCACCAGACTGGTGCAGGATTCTAGCTGGAAATCACCCCAAACTGCGACTGAAATCTCCAGAAGACATTGGTGAAGCAGCGCAGCCCTTCACCAGACTGGTGCAGGATTCTAGCTGGAAATCACCCCAAACTGCGACTGAAATCTCCAGAAGACATTGGTGAAGCAGCGCAGCCCTTCACCAGACTGGTGCAGGATTCTAGCTGGAAATCACCCCAAACTGCGACTGAAATCTCCAGAAGACATTGGTGAAGCAGCGCAGCCCTTCACCAGACTGGTGCAGGATTCTAGCTGGAAATCACCCCAAACTGCGACTGAAATCTCCAGAAGACATTGGTGAAGCAGCGCAGCCCTTCACCAGACTGGTGCAGGATTCTAGCTGGAAATCACCCCAAACTGCGACTGAAATCTCCAGAAGACATTGGTGAAGCAGCGCAGCCCTTCACCAGACTGGTGCAGGATTCTAGCTGGAAATCACCCCAAACTGCGACTGAAATCTCCAGAAGACATTGGTGAAGCAGCGCAGCCCTTCACCAGACTGGTGCAGGATTCTAGCTGGAAATCACCCCAAACTGCGACTGAAATCTCCAGAAGACATTGGTGAAGCAGCGCAGCCCTTCACCAGACTGGTGCAGGATTCTAGCTGGAAATCACCCCAAACTGCGACTGAAATCTCCAGAAGACATTGGTGAAGCAGCGCAGCCCTTCACCAGACTGGTGCAGGATTCTAGCTGGAAATCACCCCAAACTGCGACTGAAATCTCCAGAAGACATTGGTGAAGCAGCGCAGCCCTTCACCAGACTGGTGCAGGATTCTAGCTGGAAATCACCCCAAACTGCGACTGAAATCTCCAGAAGACATTGGTGAAGCAGCGCAGCCCTTCACCAGACTGGTGCAGGATTCTAGCTGGAAATCACCCCAAACTGCGACTGAAATCTCCAGAAGACATTGGTGAAGCAGCGCAGCACTTCACCAGCCTGGTGCAGGATTCTACCTGGAAATCGACCCAAACTGCGACTAAAATCTCCAGGATATATTGATGAAGCTGTGTAGCACTTCACCAGACTGGTGCAGGATGCAGCCTGGAAATCAACCCCGCAAAGCAGACAGACTGAGACAAACACCACGGACATACCTCTGTACATTCGTCAACTAGTTGCCGAAAACGTTAAGCTAGACGAATTTGGCAAAGGTCACGAAACGTTGTGGATCAACATATCTACAACAGACTAAGCAGAGAACTAAAAAAGGCTCTTTAGGGATGCTCAAAACAACACCTTCGAACATCATATCACCAATCTTTCTGTGAACGATCACATACACTGTGGAAAGCGACTCAAAAACTAAAAAGACCATAAGTGCATGTTCCTCCAATTCGAAAACCTAACGGGCACTGGGCTCACTCAAGCAGAGAAAAAGCTGACATGTTTGCTTCACACTTAACTGAAGTCTTCAAAACGGAACCAGATGACGAAGATAAAGAAATAGAAGACTCCCTCAATACCCCTTGCCAAATGTCTCTGCCCATAAAAGCTTTCTCTCCTAAGGAAGTGAAGGAAGACATGAATCGACTCAACCCACGCAAGGCCCCAGGATATGACTTGATCACTGTATAGATATTAAAAGCATTTCTGAAAAAACTATCGTTCTACTATGCATCATATTCAATGCCATATTAAGGGTCTCCTATTTCCCTACAACTTGGAAATTCGCCGAAATAATAATGATACACAAACCTGGAAAGCCCCCACAAGAACTATCGTCTTACAGACCCATTAGTCTGCTGCCTGTCACCAGTAAAGTTTTGGAAAGACTTTTCCTTCAAAGGATATACGCAGATCATGAGCTATTAACAATACTTCCCAACTCATCACTTCGGATTTCGTGAATGGCACTCTACAAACCCATCAAGTTCACAGAATTGTAAATGGAATCTCCAGTAGTCTCGGGGAAAAGAAATTCTGTAACGCTGCATTTCTTGATATATCCCAAGCCTTTGACAAAATATGGCACCAAGGCTTACTCTTCAAATTAAAAACTCTCTGTCTCAAAATTATTATCTCCTTCTAAAATCATACCTCTCCAACAGTACTTCTCCGTCAAGCACTCAGACCAAAAATCCAATCTATATCCTATTATATCCGGAGTCCCACAAGGCAGTGTCCTGGGGCCACTGCTATTTACGATATACACAGCTGATTACCTGAAACCGAAACACCAAGATAGCATCTTTCGCTGATGACGCGGCTCTCGTTGCTATCACTGAAAACCCGCTAACAGAGTCCCAAAACCTGCAAAATCACCTTAATTTACCTAGCGACTGGTACACTACTTGGCGAACAACGGTTAATCAAACGATGTCTGTCCAGATGACATTCACCACGAGTCACGAAATGATCCCACAAGTAACACTGAACAAGTGCAAATACCTACAGCCACAGAAACAAAGTATCTCGGCCTCCACCTCGATCAAAGGCATAGTTAGTTAGTTAGTTATTGGAGAGGGTGGGTTTCCCCATGCACTGAGACCTGTATTGGTCCATTGTGCTTCCCTCTATGATTTCTACCAGTCTCTATATCCTACCGGTACTGGTGCTTACCATCAGTCCCGCCCAGCCAGCGAGACCGGCTCTACTAGCTGAGAGGTATCTATAATGCTTCCCCCATCTACCAGAAGTATTAGAGACTGTTGTTGGGCGGGAAACGTCCGTTAATTTGGCTCAGTGACATCCTTTGGAGATATGAGGTTCTTTTACGTGCCGTAAAGCTACGACACGGGACCCACGGCTTAAAGTCCCTCCCGGAGGACTTGTTCCCTGAATTTTTCCGCCCTTAAAAATTCGACGACCTCCGCCGGGTATTTGAACCCGCGTACTACGAGTCATGACGTGGGAACGTTACCTCTAGACTACGGAGACCGCTTCGATCAAAGGCTTACTCGTAGAAAACACATCCAAACTAAAAGAAAACAACTTGACATGAAATATCATCAAATATATTGGCTTCTCAATAGAAAATCAAAGCTCTATATGACTAACAAAATACAACTATACAAAGCTATATTGAAACCTATTTGGTCCTATTGTCTTCAACTCTGGGGATGTGCAAAGCCGTCGACAATCAATCTCATCCAGAAATTCCAATCAATAAACACTAAGGGCAATTGCAGACACGCCATGGTGTGTGAGGAACTTTACACTCCATAACGACCTAAAGATACCCTTCGTCAGAAATGAAATACTAAGAATGGCTGAAAGGTACAAAAACCAAAATGTAAACCATCCCAACGAATTAATAGAAGAGCTATACACCAAATGTCCAGTGACAAGAAGACTGAACAGAACATGGCCCCAAGACATCATCAATTAATGAACTAGACTACATGTAGGAGAAATATCACTGGATGTTTCCCTTGCAAGCTAACCCCCTACAGCACATTTACTTAATACTCTGTAATGATGTAGATTGTAAAGAAGCATAATAATAAAAAAAAACTCTGATAAACATTTACTGAGTTCAGTTCGGGATGTGCGCAGAAAAGCATGTAGATCACCGTGTAAAGTGCGCCTTATTGTCAGGTTCTAACAAAAGGTGGAATGAGATTTTAGTCAAACTCCAAAATATCGGATTTCATTATCATTCACTAAGCGTTGGTCGATGTGTTCCAGGTAACAGACGGTCGGAGGCGTCGGTGGGAATTTAATAAGCATTCCGCAGGGACGCGAAAGCGCTTCAAAACAAAAGTAAAAAAATCTATTAGTCCTGATAGCTAACTATTCGCTACCGACTGGTCTCGCTATGAACACCTGTGTTTTCATTATTTGCTCTTTAAGCATTCATCTTTCTGCTATTTCCTCCATCTTCTGCTATTGAATCTGTCGATACTTGAGAGGTTACCCAACATAACACATAGAAACTTCGTGAACCCCTGGTGTCAAGACCTGTGTAAGACATATGTTCGCGGCAAATCTGTCACGCCCAACTCTCGAGATCGATGCTGCCATACCTTTACCTACCTGCAGCACCATCCCTACGGCCGCAGCAGTCAGCTGCAGATCACACCACAAAGCTCAACTGACACACTCTGGTTCCGCGAAGCGCCTGGCCTCTTTCGGCAGCATTTTCAATTCTTGTCTCCTAGCAACGCGGCCGTGCGTGGTCCGTTCAAGAAAAGTAGAGACCTCTTTCAGTTTATTTTGTAAACGATAACGCAGACACCATGCTTCTTCCTTTGAATACTTAATAAAAGACTTAACCTCCAGCTAATGAATACAGTAGTTATTCTATAATACTGTATTATTTTGAATTCACAACGCAACACGTCGCGCCACCTTCGTATTTTGGTTTACCGTTCCAATGCAAATGAAGTTCACATATTTATAATATATTTTAGCATCGGTTGACATAAAGCTTTCAAAACTTTACATTCAATTGCGATATTCTGCTCCCAACTAGAAACCTCGCGTCATCGTCATCATCACCGCTGTCGGAAGAGGCCTCCAACAACAAAATATCTTTTTTGTCTGATTTTTTAATTGTGTATATGTTTTATCTTACGACCCAGTCAGTATCTTCATTATACTCGTACAGCACGTACTGATAAGTTGAATGATCAATTAGGAAGGATTTTCAAGGAAGCGGTAGGAGGCTAAGCATGAAAAACTGAGGAAAATCAAGAGAAACTTCAATCAGGATAGTCGGCATTCGGGCCCAGATTCGAGCCTGGTTCCTCCAGAATGCAAGACTAGAACGTTACCGTACCGTTAGGTCAACGTATTTGGTGTTTACATGTACGTTATGTTTACTGATGGGAGAAGCAATCTCAGAAGTTCAGTTGCCGCTCTACATCACTCGACAGTACTTCCTTCTGCATATCAGCTAATGGTCGCTGAGGTACAGATCGAGTCAGTTAAATTTGCAACAATCTGCGTGAGAGAAAGTTTGCATGCGAATATGTACAACTCATTTTTCTCCGAGATTCTCTGGAATCCGCAAGGGCGCAATGTAGGAAGTGAGTGGCATAGTGCAGGCATGTCCAACGCGTCGATCGCGGGACGATTTTTCGTCGATCTCATAGGCCTATAAGGAAATTATACGTGAAAAGCATATAAATTCACTTGTAATATAATATGATTATATTCAGATTTTGAAAGGAAAACACGTGTTAAAGTAGTCTGTACTTTCAATGTATGTTGCTTTTATAACAAACATCATGTGTCGTGTTATTTTTATCAATATTTTTGCTTAAAGCGAGGTACGATGTTAGGAGGGGGTGGTAGATCACTGGCAGTTTTGACCGTTTTGACACTGAAACGTCGATCACAACCTGTTTGAAGTTGGACATGCCTGGCATAGAGCATTCCATCGACTGTATAGTGCCTGTGACGATGGAAGAACGGGAGAAGCGGAGTGCTGAGGACTGTTCAATATTTGTTCTATGTCGCTGCATATATATTTAGTGCACGTTATATCAGCACCCTGAACCTTAACCAGTGGTGCGTCGCGGGTCCACGCGTATGTCTTACTATACGGGTCCTCTTCATTTGCAACAAAATGGAAAATTCGAATTACAGTCTTCTGGGATATTTAGTAGTGTAGTTTCAAATATATGTACCGAAATTTCGGAGGAACGAACTGCGCCCATTTTCATGGTTGACACAGAAGCGAATATTAGGTTTACGGCTGTCTTGCTCGTGACGCCATGTAGTCCGGTAGATACTTACATGCGTCTCGGACGAACCTGTTGCCATATCCAGCATGTCAAAACACTGTAGTAAATATTCTGTATTCTATAAATTACGTTTTTATAATGCTTTAAATATGTAAGGCAAACAAAATACGAATACTCTTATTATAAGCTGAGAACTTGTTTCTTTATTATAGCAGAAATATTGTAAATACAAAAGAGGCCTAGGCAATGCCCATCCGGCCTTCTGTAGCACAGTCTTATAAATATCTTATCCTATAATAGCGGTAACCTCGCGATTCTTCAATATAAATCTCAACTAAAATCTAAGAGTATATTGCTAATAACCAGTACAATTACTTCTTTTACTTTTCTTACATACCTATTTTATATTTATATAGACAGGAATGTTGTTTATGAAGTAAGAGACGCCTTGCAGAAATCTTTTTTCTTTCTAGCCTTAAGAGCTCTGTAACTCATTCTGGGTAATGCTTTTTGCTGTTCTCAAACAAAATGTCCATCACTGTTGCCCGTTGGCCCTCGTACAGTTTACAGACCCAGAAGATATGTTCCTCCGTTTGCATCCCATCACCATATTCGCATTCGGCTGTGGTCACAGTGTTAAATCTGTTTAGGCTTAATGTTGTATTTTAGCGTCCTGTTTCACTGATTCTCATCCATGATATGTATGTAATGGCCGTCTTGTAGTGCACTCAATTTCACATGTCGCTTCACTACACGTTTCGGCATCACTGTGCCATACTCAGGTGCTTTATTTATGCTAAGCTATTGCATTGCTTGCCATCATGTGTCTTTCATAAAATTATTAAAATGAGCATTCTTCATCAACTATAATAAAATTTGTATACACTAAAACTTGTTAAGATTGTTCATCTTATGCATCTTAATTCAAACTTGCGTATTGTATGGTTCTTCCACTAAGGGAGTGGTTTTTCCTATTTTTTTTTTACTGTGTCTTGTGATGTGTCCTTCCTTTTTGGCTGCGAGCGTTGTGGAAGAACCATACAATACGCAAGTTTGAATTAAGATGCATAAGATGAACAATCTTAACAAGTTTTAGTGTATACAAATTTTATTATAGTTGATGAAGAATGCTCATTTTAATAATTTTATGAAAGACACATGATGGAAAGCAATGCAATAGCTTAGCGTAAATAGAGCACCTGAGGATGGCACTATGTTGCCGAAACATGTAGTGAAGCAACATGTGAAATTGAGTGCACTACAAGACGGCCATTACATACATATCATGGTTGTTTAGGCTTGCTTTAAATTTAGGTAATTTAAGGTATGGTGTACTTCTTTCTCCATGATAAACTTTATGCTTCAGCGTATGGAATTGAATTCACTATAGGTGTTTTCTATATTAGAGGTGTTAGTGTCATATATAATTAATATGTCATTAACATATCTACAGTATTGATAATCTGGTGTTTATCTATGATTCTGATAATTGTTTATGTTCCAGATGTTGTATGAAGGTTTCTGCTAAAATATCTGATGTAGGTGCTCCCATTGCCAAACCTTCATCCTGTTTGTAAAACTGGTCATTCAATTGCAAGCAGTTATGTTCAAGGACAGTATTTAACAGGGTTTCCAATTCCTGCTTTTCTAATACAAGTATTCGATTGTCATTATTGAGGATATTTCTTTTATCAAGCTCTTTACTTCAACACTAGGTATATTTGTGTACATGTTCACGATTTTGAAGGAACACAATCTAATGTTTTTGTTCATTTCTATGTGCTTCATATTATGGATAAGAGAGATGGAGTCTTCTACATTATAAAAATGGTGTAACTGTAATTCATGTGATAGTTGTGTGGCTATGTATTTTGCCAGTTTATAACCTGGGCTGTCCTTCCAATTGAAAATTGGTCTAACTGGCTTAAGCCGTATGTGTAGCTTTTTTCATGCCATATATATATATATATATAAGGGGCATTTTGGGTTCATGTTACTGTATTTCCATTTATAACTTTCATTTATTATGTTACTACAGTTCTTTATGCTATGCCTTACGTTTCTTTGTTGTTTGTAATATTGTATGGATGTTTTGTACAGTTGTTATTAGTTACAAATTCCTCAGTTTTGTTGCTATAGTTCTCTTTGTCTACTATGACTAAAGTGTTACCTTCATCAGCTTTAGTTTCCATTAATTGATTTCGGTTTATTGTCTTCTTTATACTATTTATAATGTACCATTCTTGTGATTCTAATTTTAACTTATGGGTTTGACAACTATCCTTTTGTGTTTCCAGATTATTAATGAGTTTTTGGATATTGTTTGCTACAATCTGATTCATATAGATTTGATCTCTTACGTGCATTTTGCTTATAGCTGTATCTGCTTCTATCGCTAAAAGTTTTATCCAATACTTGTGTTTGTAATGTAGGCTATACTTTAAACCTCTGTCTAAGACTTTCATTTCTGCTTCTGGAAAAGTTAATGTTAGTTCTGTTTTCTGTACATTTTTAGAATGCATTACTTTTTTGTAAAGGGGCACGCGGTAGCATAGTTGGTTGAGGGGCTATGCTACAAGCCGGAAGGTCGCGCGTTCAAGTCCCGATGAGGTCACTGGATTTTTTCAGTTGACCTAATCCTTTCAGCCGCGCTAGGCCCTGGGGTTTATTCAGCCTCTAACAGAAATGAGCACCAGGAATTAATTAAATAATTTTCCTGGGGAGTAAAGAACGGCTGGCACGTAAGGCTGACAACCTTACCGCCATCTTTGAGCCGATTGTCTAGATAGCGTGGGACCCTCAACATCTCACAACCCTATGTGCCTTCACAGCCTGGTACAGGGATAGCTTTACTTTTTTTACTTTATTACTTTTCTGTTAGATTTCGTCATAATAGTGAGTCATTTTTATTTAGAGTTTGATAATTTCCTTGCATTTTTTGTTCTAACATGAATCCATATTGAATTAATCTACAAAATACAATGCCCATAAAAGATGGACACACACACACACATATAAATGATAGCAATATTTTTACATCTTCACCCAATGACACACACTGCATAAATATCAACACATCGTAACAACCCATGTAATAATATCCTTAATACATTTCCCACTGCATAACCTCAAGCACAACAACTTCCACCCTGAGAGACTCTCACCAAAGCAGCATTCCACAGTCATTCACACCACACAAAAACTATGAACATATGAATATACCATCAACTTAAAAATTGTTCTAATAACTTTAATATTTTAGGTTTTAATTGTATAACTTTGAATTTAATTCCCGAGGCTTTATTTCGTAATGAAACATTTTACCAACATAAACATCACAGGCAGCAATTTTTAATATGTTAATATTTTTAAATATCTTTTTAATATATCTTTAATTCAACTGTAATATAATTCTTTGTACATGTATAATC